TGATTGTCTCATTGGTTGAGCTCTGACTCTCATTGGCTGGGCTGTGACCATCTCTCATTGGCTGGGCTGTGACCGTCTCTCATAGGCTGGGCTGTGATTGTCTCATTGGTAGAGCTCTGACTCTCATTGGCTGGGCTGTTGTCAGTGGAGGAGAAAAATATCCTCCCCCCCCCCCCCCATGGGCTAGCACCTCTCTTCCTGCTGGATTTGCAATTTATTCTTGGATATGACACCAAAACCATAGGTAACAAAAGAAAAAAATAACCAAATAGTACTTCATAAAAATTTAAAAATTTTGTGCATCCATGGGGCGCCTGGGTGGCTCAGTCGGTTGAGCGTCCGACTTCAGCTCAGGTCATGATCTCCCGGTCCGTGAGTTTGAGCCCCGCATCAGGCTCTGTGCTGACAGCTCAGAGCCTGGAGCCTGCTTTGGATTCTGTATTGTGCCTCCCTCTCTCTCTGCCCCTTCCCTGCTCATGCTCTGTCTCTCTGTCTCTCTCTCCCCTTCAAAAATAAACACTAAAGGGGCGCCTGGGTGGCTCAGTCGGTTGAGCGACCGACTTCGGCTCAGGTCGTGATCTCGCAGTTTGTGAGTTTGAGCCCCGCGTCGGGCTCTGTGCTGACAGCTCAGAGCGTGGAGCCTGCTTCGGATTCTGTGTCCTCCTCTCTCTCTGCCCCTCCCCCACTCATGCTCTGTCTCTCTCTGTCTCAGAAATAAACATTAAAAAAAAATTTTTTTTTAATTTTGTGCACCCAAAGACACTATCCACAGAGTAAAAGTCAGTGCACATAATGGGTGAACATATATGCAAACGATACACCTGACAAAGGATTAAAATCCAGAAAATACAGAGAATTTCTTGAAGTCAACAACAAAAAAGTCCTAGCGATCCAATTAAAAACAAGGGGGCAAAGGAATAAACATTTCTCCAAAGATGACATACAGGTAGCCAACAAACACACGCAAAGATGCTCCACATCACCAGTTGTCAGGAAAACGAAATTAAAACCACCGTGAGATACTGGTTCATATCCACCAGGACGGCTAGGATTTAGTGACAGTAGCAAGCAAGGTGATGTGGAAAAATCGGCACCTCCACACCTCGTACCTTACTGGGAACATAAATTCGCTCAGTCGCCGTGGAAAACAGTATGGCAGTCCCTGAGAAAATTGAAATTAGAGCTGCCACACGATCCAACAATCTGACCTCTGAGTGTAGCCCAAAGGAGGTGAAAGCAGGGTCCTGAGGACACACCCATGTCCCAGCCGCATTCTCCACAGCAGCTAAAACGTGGAAGCCACCCACGCGGCCACGGATAAACAAAATCTGATATGTACACACAGCGGAATGTGCTCAGTCATAGAAGGGAGACGCTGACACCTGCGACATCATGGCTGAAACTGCAGGACGGACACTCGGTGAATAAGCCAGTCGCGAGAAGGCAAGTACTGTGGGATTCTACCCGTGTGAGTTACCTGGTGTTGCGGAAGCCGTAGAGACAGAGGGTAGACGGCGGTTGCCTGGGGCGAGGGGCAGGGCCAGTGGAGAGCTACTGCCTCCTGGGTATAGGGTCTCTCGGTTCCTACAAGGTTAAAAGGATCGTGGGGATGGATGGTGGGGATGAGGGACGGGCGAGTGTATTTCATACCACCCAACTGTGTACTCAAAAATGGTTAAGATGGTAAATTTCATGTTATGTATATTTCATCCCAGCTTAAAAAATTTTTTAGGTGGGAGGCAAAATTGTCACGCTTCTAGAAAATAATCCAGGAGACCATATTTCTGATCCCAAGGCAGGGAAAGTTGCGTGAAATAGGGCCAAGAAGCACCAGCCTGAAAAAAGATACTGGCGACTTTGACGCATTAAAATTGTGAACTCGTGCGTCCTGTGTGTGGGTTTCTGAGAGGCGACGGTGTGGTGTGGTTTCTCTGCCTGTTGGTTAGGTCCCACATGGGGCCTGGTGAGATGCCAGCCTTCTGGGTCCCGGCTTGTTGAAAATGCCGTGTTTTCATGATCGCTTTTATTTATTTATTTTTTTTTTTTTTTTTTAAATTTTTTTTCAACGTTTATTTATTTTTGGGACAGAGAGAGACAGAGCATGAACGGGCGAGGGGCAGAGAGAGAGGGAGACACAGAATCGGAAACAGGCTCCAGGCTCTGAGCCATCAGCCCAGAGCCCGACGCGGGGCTCGAACTCACGGACCGTGAGATCGTGACCTGATTGAAGTTGGACGCTTAACCGACTGCGCCACCCAGGCGCCCCTCATTATCGCTTTTAAATGAGAGTTTACTCGCGTGTGGAGTCCAGCGTTCAAAGGCAGTTTCCGTCGTGCTGTTCCCGGTGCTGGTCCCGGTCTCCCTGGGGGGCGAGCACGCGGTCTTGTCCTTCCGGCAGCTCTGAGCTTTTCTCTTTGCCTCGGGACCCTCAGACCTCACCACCTGGCCTCTCCTGTCCCGTTCCCGGCACCCCCTGAGTGCCTTCAGTTCGGAAAGGTCATTGTCATCACATGTCTGTCCAAGTACTGCCCTGTGGCCATGGCCCCCTCTCACCACCGGTGCGTCCCCCAAAACCTTTTGTCCAGGACGTCTGTCGGTTTCACTTTCTTGTTTTCAGCTCTTCTATTTTAAAATGTCTTTCTATCTCTGTCGTGGTTTTTCTGTCTGTGGGGGAAGACGTGCCCACTTTTCCATCTGGAAACCAGAAATCCCTTTTCAAAAATATTTAAAGTTTAAGCAGCAGTGTTTTGTCTTTATGCGCTGTGTTGGTTTTTATAGCTACCTCCTCCAGGGCCACGGTGGAGCCCTGTGGCTGACGGTGTGGACTCTGGAGTCAGATCTCCTGGACGGAGCCTGGCTTTCACCCTTACTGAAGCGAGCGTTTCCATTGTTTCCATTGCCTCAGTGTCCCCACCTGTAAAGCGGGAGAAATAATGGCTCGCGCTCATCGGGTGCCACCCCGCAGGAGCTGCACTTCATGGACACGAGCTCTTGTCCACGGCAAGAGATGCTCATGTTCCCGGTCCCTTAGGAACATGTTTAAATTAGGTAAGAAGTACATCTATTTAAGGAAGAGAGTGTACCGTGGGAATGACAGGCGTTTAAGGAATGCTGTTGTTTTGCACGGGGGTTAACAGAGACTCAGGAAATCAGACCAGAAGTTCAGGGTAAGCTTTCAGAAGTTGGTCCCAAGAGTGGGCAGCAGGCCTCATTTGCTGCACCAGCCGTCTCCGGCCGGCCAGGGCCCAGGGTGACCTGCCCTGGATGGACCTCTTGAGATCGTAGGAAAGGACAGCAGTGGCCTTAAGAGAGCCCAGGCCCTTCTCCCTGGGCCCCCAGCCCCACCTTCCCCTGGCGTGGGGGGTGGGGGGTGGGGGTAGGGGAGCCACACTGAGTGCAGAGGCAGGTCATGTGGCTCAGGGAGGGGGAGAGACCCTCCCACTCGGCCCCCACCGGCAGCGTCCTTTGCCTCCCCAGGTGGCAGTGCCCCCTGAAACCAGCTCTGCCCACTGGGGGGTCTTTCTCATCCTTGTGGCCCAGGTAAGCGGGGCGCCGTCTGTGTCTGGTTAGCACGTCTCCTGTCTGCGCCCCCACCGGCTCCCCCATCCTTCCCACACCCACCATGTGCACGTGGCGCTCTCTGGGCAGAAAAGAAGGCAGAGATCCCTGCCCCCCGCCCCCGCCTCCCTGGCGAGATGAAAAAAGAAGGGCCCTCGCAGAGCAAGTCGAGGTGGGGCAGGTGCCTTGAAGAAAACACACCGAGTGAGACCCGGGCCCGGGCCAGGCCCTGCAGCAACCAGCAGCTGCCTTGGGGTCTGGGCAGCACGGAGCACCCCTCTTCCGTGTGCACCCAGCCCACGAGGCAGCTACTGCCTGCGCTGACACGGCCCTGGGCTGCGTCCACGCTGCCAGCGGGTTTTCCAGTCTTCCGACACCAGTGAAACAGTCTCCTTATAAATCCCGTGTGTTCGAAATGACGACTCACGCCTGGCCCCAGCCAATTCCCCACAGCCCAAGACTGACCCCGAGGGGCCTCCTTGCCCCTCACCCACCTGTCCCTCCCAGCGGGTCCGGCATGAGCCCTGGGGGTGCTATACAGCCGGAGGGGCCCTGCCTGGCCCACAGACACACGGAGGGGGGCACTCAGTTGGCGGAAAAGACTCCAGGGCCAAGACGTGTACACAATGCTCAGCGTTTATTTGCAAGATCGGGGGGGGGGGGGGGGGAGCAGCGGGAGCTCCGACGCCCCCCACCCCTGCCCGGGGCCCTCCTGTCGGCCACGGTAACCCCACGCCTGGGTCCAGACATGGGCCTGCCTGGCACCGCTCCCTGGAGGCTGCCGGCCTGGCCTTGCCTGGACGGGCCTCAGCCCGAATTCTGCCGCAGGAGGTGGCCAGCAGGAATCTGTTCCCCAGGGCTTTGAGGAGCAGCGGGGGGCAGGAGGGGGGCACTCAGGCCCACAGTGCGGGGAGCAGCATGGCAGCTGATGCGCGCTTTGCTACGGGGCACACCTCTGACACCAAGAAGGGGGCGAGTCCGGACGGAGCAGGCGCCTGTGTCTCAAATGAGGGGTCGGCCCTGATGGCCAGGCAGGCGGCCAAGACGTGCTGAAGGGGCTCCGAGGGCAGGGCCCCCTCCTGGAGCCCCCCTCAGGCAGGCCGTCATGGCGCCACCACCTCCAGGGCGCAGGTGTCGCGAGGGCACGGGTGGAGGGTGTGCTCGGACTCCCGCAGCAGGCTGGCCCGGCTGTCCGCGGTTGGGTAGTGAGTGTTCTGGCTCCGGAGGGGGAGGGAGGGAGCTTGTGGGATGGGGTCAGAATGGCAACAGCCAGTGGTGGACCCCTAGATCGAGAAGATGGGGGTGCTGTCCTCGGGAGCCTCGGGAGCAGGGACGCAGGACGCAGCACAGCTGCACTCGTCCACGTGGGTGTAGGTGTGCTGGACCGCTGTCCCATCGGGACACTGCATGGTCACCACCTCGTCGTGAACCCTTGTCTCCTGGCAGCAGGTGCACTGACGCTGCATGGCCTGGGCCTCCATGGAGAACCTGCAGATTTGAGTGGCCACCCTCAGGACCCGCCTTGTCCAGCCCCAGCCACCCAGCTCTTGCTTTCTCCGGGGCCTGGAGAGGATGGCTCCCGCCCACTCACGGGCAGCCCTGAGCTTGTCCTCGGAGCACCGGGGGCTTCTCTGACAGCGCTCAGGGTCACCGAGCTCTGACCTTCTCTGGTCAGGCCCCCTCCCTTCTTGGAACCAGCTCATCAAACTAGCTGATAGGGACAAGACCCTCCTCCCTCCAGGAACCACCCCCCCACCCCCCACCCCAGGGTCTTGAGCCAACGTCACATCCTTCCTTCTGCTCTCCCGGCCTACTTGCTCCACCTGGCAGAAGCCAGGGCGGTCTGGGGCGGGGAGGGGGCCCTTGGGAGGGGCGCCGGCCTCGCTCACTTGGACACTCCTGGGCACGAGCCCTCGCAGAAGGTGACGTTGACCGGGGCCTGGGTGGCGCAGCCCTGGTGTTTCAGGACCGTCCTGTTGACCCGGACTTGGCAGGAGTCTGGGCGGAGGGAGGAAGGGCGGTGGAGGTGCGGGAAGGGCTCTCCCCTGACCTGGGCCGCTCCTCCCACCCTCGGGAGCCCCGAGCTCGCTCGGGGTGGGGTCCTGGGGCTAGAGGCAGCTTGGGGCAGAAATCAGTGCACAGAGACTGGGAGGGGCTGGAGGGTGAGGGCAGGTAGGCGGGCCTCAGCTTACCCACTTCCTCACAGGAGTAGCAGCAGCCAGTTTTCCTGAGGATGCCCTGCAGGGGTGGGGGAGACAGAGCGGGGGTGGAGGGGGCTGGGGGCTGGGCAGGAACTCCCAGGAGTAGGAGCGCGGGCGGGGTCAATGGGGCCGAGCGTGGGCGGGCTTCCCAGGGGTGGGGCGTGGCCTCCTAGGTGGGGAGTGGGGAATCGGGTGGGCGTGGCCCTGGTGGGGCGTGGCCTCCGGGGACGGGCGTGGGCGGGGCCCTTGGGAGGGATCTCCAGGACGCGGGCGGCCCCGGGACACACACCTTGCAGCTGGACGGGTCCGGGCAGGGCAGCGGCCTCGCGGTGAGCATGTGGAGCCCGTTCTTGGCGTCGCAGCGGTACTCCGTGCAGTTGTCCACGAGGCTGCTGACCCAGGTCTCGTTGGGCTGCAGAAAGGCGATGGGGAGGGTGGAGGCCCACCGGGGAATGAATTATCTGGTGGGCTGGGAAGGGCTGAAGGGAAGTCCCCCCTGGCGGGGGGGGGGGGGGGGGGGAGGCGGAGACCGAACCCCCTCTTACCTGGACCAGCCGGCCGTCCGGCGTGAGACACGCTGTCTGCACGCACTCCCCACAGCACTGTCCGTCCACCTTCTGGTACCGGAAGCCCTGAGGGACAGGGGTGGTTACATCCTCACCCCCAGGCCCCCTCCCCAGCCCTCCTGAACCCCACCCATACCCGAAGGGCCCAGCGACCTCCTCAGCAACCTGCCCAGGGCTGCCACCAGGCAGGCACTACCGGCGTCTGCCCAGGAGGGTGTACCTGGGGGCAGGTGGTGCTGCGGTTGTCCTCCTCACACTGCACCGTTGGGTGCTGGGTGTCCGCGGACAGGCAGGTGCATGTGTGGCAGGGAGTGACCGCTGGGAAGGTTGCACCGATCTGCAGTGGTTGGCGTGAGGGGAGGCAACACTGAGGGCACTGGTAGGGGCACAGGCCCGGGGCCAAGACCCTTCCTTGCTGCTGGCTGGGCGGCAGGAAGGGAAGGCCTACAGAAAGTGGTTTCTTTGTTCTTCACATAGAATTCTGCATGTACCCCCTGGCTGAGCATAGACCGGGGCAGAGGCAGGGAAGGCAGGCAGGCTGGAGGGGGCTGGGAGGGCACGGTCCTACCCCAGCCCTCTTGCTGTGAGGAGGCTCCTGGGAGACCCTGAACCTAAGCTCTCAGAGGCAGGCATTCAGCCCGTGGCCCTCCCAGGCCCTCGGCAGACAGTGCCGCGCCTGTGTCCCCCTCCTTCATGTCTCCACCAGGCTCTACAGGACCCAGAGCCCCGTGCTTATCTGCTCTCAAGCAGGAGGCTGCAGGCAGGGCTGGGCCTGTCCAGACGAGGGGTGGAGGTCCCCTAGCCGAGGTGCGGAGCCCAGGGCCCCACCCACTGCCCCCTGGCTCAGCAGAGCCCTTACCCCATAGGCGGTGCCATTGTAGGTGCACAGCTTAGGTCCTGGAAGGAAAGGGAGGGCTGAGCACCTGCCCAGGTGCTAGGGGGGAAAGCGCTCACCCTCCGCCGCCCGAGCCCCACCCCAGAGAATCCCCAGCACAGCTCACGGCAGCTGAAGGTGGGGCAGCAGTCGCCCTCCTCCTGGGTGGCCACCAGCTCCTCTCCCGGCACACATCTGGGTGGGCTCTGGGGGCAGGTGGTCGTGTTGCAGACTGTGGGAGAGTCGGGGCGCTGTCAGGGGCACCCCTGCAGCTCCCCTTTTCTGGCTGTGCCAGCTCACAGTCTAGGGGAGTTTCTTGCGACAGTCGTATTTTTTTCCTGGGGGTTGAATCTTCTGGGTTCCTGCTGGATCCCCTCGCTGTACCCAGCCACACCAGAAGCCACCAGCCTCATTTTAGGTAGAAAAATGAAGCACCAAGAGGCCCACCGACTGGCCCACCGACTGGCCCCCTCCTCGGCCCTCCTCACCCTGTGGCCAATGGGGGCACGGGGCTCACCGCACAGCGTCTCCAGGCAGCACGGCTTGTCAGCCACAGGCCTGGTCACAGTCACCAGGCCCGCCCGGCTGCACTGCGGGGGCCGGTCCCGGGCTTCGCACAGCACGGGCGTGCACCGCACCGACAGGGAGCCCTCGTGACACACGCAGTCCTGGCAGTTGCTGACCCACCGCTCCCCGGGCTGGAAGAGACCAGTCAGGGCCCCTGGAGACTCCCAGACGGTGCCCTGGCTCTTGGGCTGCAGCCCTCAGTGTGGTCGTGCCAGCCTTTGGCCTCCCGCTCAAGCTGCCGTCTCTGCGGCAGCCCGGGTGACAGGGATGTGTCGCACACCGGGGCACCCCACGCCAGCCCCCCACAGGGCTGCCCGGGCAGAGCAGGGTGCCCTGAGATGCGGCTTTCCGTCCCATTGCTCAGGCGAGGGGGCAGGTAGCTGGGGGGCAGAATACTCACAGATTTGGGAAACCCGTCTGGTCCCACACAGCCTGCAAAGGGGAGAAGGGAGGGGAAGATCACTGGGGGTGCTGGGTTCCAGACCCAGTGGGCAGAGACCACAGGCCCCGGGACATGTCTTTGCGGGCCTGGCTGCCCCCACCCCCAGCAGAGGCCTCTTCTTCCCGCTGGGGGACACGATTCCCTGGGGAACTCGGCGTCGCGGCCATACTGCGCCCTCTGTGGAGTGAGCACCCAGGAGGGACGGTCCTGGACTGGCGTCTTCCCACCCCAGAGCTCCCCCTGCAGCCCTGTAGCTCAGGTCAGGGCAGCCGAGGCGGGTGCTTACCGCACTCGCGCACGCAGACGTTTGTGTGCGTGTTGAAGAGGGTGTGTCCATCCGGGCAGAAGCAGCCTTCCGCCAGCCCCTTGCCCACCTCGCTCTGGCGCCTGCAAGGACAGGAGGGCATTCCTAGGACCCTCGATCCACACGAGTGCAGTCCTAGGGGTGAGGGCCGAGGGCAGGGCGGGCTGCTGGGGTTGGCCAGCTGCCCGGGGCCACTCGGGAGCGAAGGCTCAGAGATCGGGGTGGGGGGAAGGGAGCCCCAGGCCCTTTGGTGCCCCCGGACCTCGCAGGCAGGCTTTACCTGGAGCCGCAGGACACGGGCTGTGCGGGGCCACACGGCTGGTACACCTTGCCGGACGGACAGGTGAAGTCTGGGGACAGAGACAGGTGTCAGGTGGGCCAAGGAGGCCAGAGCCCCCAGGGGCCGCCCCGACTCACTGCACAGCCCGCCGGTGGCGTCGCGCCAGCTGCTGCACACGCCCTGGGCACGGCAGAGTGCTGCGTAGGCCTCCAGGCTCTTGCAGGGCGCCTGGCGGTCGGCTTGGCAGCCATCACTGATGCAGGAACTGAAGAACGGGCCCGGCGGGATGAGGCCGTGGCACTCTGCGAAGACCCTGTGGGCAGGGGCGGTCAGAGGCCAGGGCAGAGGGCAGGTCACTGTCCCAGGACCACCAAACCCAGAGGAGAGACTCACGGGCTCAGCAACAGCTCGCAGAGAGGTGCCGGGGGGCATGGGGAGGAGGTGGGCGTGGCGGGTACCGGGGGCTGGGGGGTGGGTGCCCCGCAGTCCTCCCTGCCGCTCTCCCTGACCAGCCAGGTAGGGGCCATGTCTTGGCAGGTGGGGGCGGTGGTGCCGTCTGGCTGGCGGCAGTCGTCTGTCTGGCTGTTGGTGCAGGTGCCTGGGGGGGTGGGGCAGCAGGGTCACGGTCTTGCCCTTGCCCCTCCCCCCACCTGCGCTGAGGCGGCTGTGGCCCCCACTCACCGCACTGGCCCTCCGTGTTGTGGCTGAAGTGGGTGTAGGGCAGCCGGACCTGGAAGACGTGCCCGTCGAAGCTGATGCTGACATTGAGGGCAGGAATGTCGATGCCCATCGTGGTGGTGCCTGTCACGGACACACTCACGCCGTTCTTTGCAAAGCCCGGGCTCACTTGCTTGCGGTCAAACAATATCTGAGGACATATCAGGGGGTGGGGGTGGGGGTGGGGGATCCATGATCGGGTGGTGGGGCGGCAGGGCCTGCCTTGGAGGCTCTCCCTCCCGGGTGCTGGGGCCCCAAGTCCTTGGGGGAGTCCCAGCTGGCTGCGTTCGGGCCCCCGGGGCGTCATGGCACGCCCTTTGCCCTTCCAGAGGCCCCTCCGGGGGCTGACCTCCAGGCCTGCAGGCCTTCCCCGGTGATGCAGGGCAGGGCCACTCACCAGGGGCTCCTCCTGCCCGTTGGCGCCGGTGCTGGTGGTGAGGATGACCTCCGTGGACTTATAGCGGGTGCTGAGGGCGCGGGGACACTGGGCAGTGGCTGAGGTGGCCCCACAGTAGTAGTTGTGCATGTAGATGCTGAGGTTCCCGTGGCGCGGGCGGATCTCCCGCATGAGCACGTGGGTGCAGTTGTCCACGAAGGAGTAGGAGGTGCCGTCAAAGGTGTTGTAGTGAGAGTTACCCCAGCCGCTGCACAAGCCTGCGGGACATGGGCAGTCCCCTCACCCCAAAAGTGCCACCTGGGGGAGCCACTCAACTGCCCTGGGCCTTGGCTGCCTCTTTTTTAAATTTTTTTTTTTTTTAATGTTTATTTATTATTGACAGAGAGAGACAGAACCTGAGCAGGGGAGGGGCAGAGAGAGGGAGAGACACAGAATCCGAAGCAGGCTCCAGGCTCTGAGATGTTCAGCACAGAGCCCGACGCGGGGCTCGAACTCACAAACCGCGAGATCGTGACCTGAGCCGAAGTCGGACGCTCAACCGACTGAGCCCCGCAGGCGCCCCTCGGCTGCCTTTTTTATAAAATGGGTGAGTAGGCTGGATGGTGGCCCTGAAGGATAAGGACATGTCCCCAGAGCCTGAGAATGGATGCGTATTTGGGGAAAGGGTCTTCATGTCAGTAATTACGTTAAGTATCTAGAGGATACCATCCCGGATTACCAGGGTCACTCTAGCCCAGTGATACGTGTCCTTGTAAAGAAAGGAGTGGCCACAGGAAGGCCGAGCCACGGCTGGAGGCCCGTGGCCACAAGCCTAGGGATGCCTGGAGCCCCCAAAGCTGACATGGCAGGGAGGGCCCTCCCTGCAGCCTCAGGCATTCCTGGTGTTGTGACCCAGTGTGCGGTCTTCACTTCTCCCGGAACCTGCCGTCCAGGCGTCCAGGGCCCAGGCCGGAAGTGCTCCCAGACGGCAGCTCCATGAAAGACGCCCAGAAACCCCGGGGACGACGGCGCGGCTGCTGCTCCCGTGTGCACACCCACCCCCCGTTCAGGAGCCCCTTCCATGTGGGGGGCTCCCTGCACACCCCCCGGCCCCACCCAGCTTACACTCGCACTCAAAACGGAAGTCACACGGCTCGCTCCCCTGCCACACTCTGACTGGCCGATGCCCATTCACGCAGCTCACACTGGCCGCTGACTTCCGCTCCAGAAGCACCATGCGGTTGTTGCCTTCACACCGGGCCACCGTGCAGTCCGGCAGGGTCCAGGACTCGTTCACCTGGGAGACAGAGGGTACGGGGCTCACTGGCTGGGGGCTACAAGACCTGCCCCGTGGCCCTGCCACAGCCTCGGGTCCCTCGTTGCCCAGGGCAGGCCCTGTGTCCTGGGCCAGCCCCAATCCTTGGCGCCTTCCTCCGGCACTACCCGTGGAGGGGTGAGCGGGGGTCACCCACAGCCCCAAGCAGGGCAGGGCTCAGCCCCCAGTTGGTTGCCCAACCCCAGGCACACAGCAAAAAAAGGAAGCACAGGCAGGAAGCGCACCTGTCGGGGAGGGACAAGGAGGTCGCAGGGAGGAACTGCGGAGGAGGGGGACAGGGGGGCCGAGGTTGCTGGGGGTGAGGAGGTGGGGCAGGTGCTCTGGAAGCGGTCAATGTCACAGCGCTGGTTGCAGACGGCAGAGAAGTGGCAGCCCGCACTGTCCGTCTTGTTGTAGATCACATCCCCTGTAGAGGAGAAAATCACCAAGGGGATCACGCCAAGTTTAGCTCAGGAGAAGGTGGGGCTTGGACGGCACCACCTGAGTCGCAGGAGGCACACGGAGGGGCCCCAGAGACCCAGGGTCTGAGTGCCCTGGGTGGACAGTTGGAAGGAACCAGGGGCTTCCTCACTCACCGGGAGAGAAGAGCTGCCCGTATGCCCGGCAGAGGCAGCCGGTGGTGAAGTGTGTGCTGCTGGATGCTGGGGGCCTCGGGGTGGTGACCACGGAGGTGGACGAGGTCCACACCATGACAGGCACGGATGTGGAGGCAGCCGGGGAGGGGCCCGGGGCGGTGCTCGGCGGGGAGCTGGTGGCCTCGGTCGTGGGGGG